TATATATAACACACACACACATACATATGACTAATTTGGCCTACTTCAATGTCATTTAAAAACTTGACCAGAAGAGTGTGATCATGTTGTTGTGGAGTACACGGCAGTTAGTTTTTGTCTCAGTGAGAGAAGTCGGACGTGCTCATGTCCCCCTTGGTGTGACATGAGATGTCAGTGACATCACGCATGAGCTGGTCAAGCACATGCTCCCATCTCAGGCCTGTCGTCAGTGTTTGTGTGCGTGCAACTTGAACTGGCCCACACAAAGATTGACTGGTCAAATGCTTTTACAACGTCATGTTCGCTTTTCTGTCCAATCAATTGTTCAACTTGAATTCGAGTCTTTGCCTATCATGACCAAATCCATCCTCAACTCACTCGAAGCCTTTTCAAAGACTGTAGTCTTGAGCTCAGACTTACGCTTCAGTCACATCAGACAGTCTTTTCACTGTTCCCGTTGGTCTCCACATGACTTGAAACTCCAGGAATCGAGTTTTTGGGTCATGTGAAACCAACAGGAACAGTGAAAAGACAGTCTAATGTGACCAAAGTGCAAGTCTGAGCTCAAGACTCAAGTGGGACTTGAGCAATGCTCGCCCCAAACCACACCCAATTTGACATCCACCAATCGCGGCGAGGCCCCTCATTTGCATAACCATAATTTGCATAACCATGTTCTGACCAATCAGATTGCTCTGAATTTGCATAATCACGCCCTAAAGAGCCCACCAATCAGAGAACGCCTAATTTGCATACCCCCTTTCCACCAATCACAGCATGTTATCGTCATGCTCCACCCACTTTCACAGCTATCAGCGAATCATCAGCCATCATTCCAGCCAGGCCACACCCACTTTCCTGGATTTTTCTGCCTGGAAAAAAAAATCCAGGAAAAAAAAATTCAGAAATAAAATTTGGAAAAAAAATTCAGAAAAAAAGTTTAGGAAAAAACTGAAAATAATTTTGTTTTATTTTTTTTAAAAGTTAGATTGTGGTGATGTGTTTAAAAATGAAGTTGAGTTGAAGTGTTCTTTGTAATCAATCTTTATTTCTTTTGCAGATTAGACAATCACAAAAGCAGAGGAAAAAGTTGCCAGTTGGATGGCAATCTGCTTGTTGCTGGGCGGCGAAGTGGTCAGCTCTTGAGAAGAACGTGGGACAGGTGTGTTGACCTGAGAGGAAAGACATCTGTGAGTTTCACGCAAGTCAATTTCTTGTGCAGACAAAGATGTGTTGGGCATGAAACTTACCAGGGAGATAGACTCTGTGTGTTGGGTCTTTCGAGAGCAGGAAGCCGATCATGTTTACTGCTACCTGGGGGAGAAAAAAAAAGTTGTCATGATGGTGCATTGAACGAGTGTAAATGTCTCCTACTTTTCAGGCTGGCCCAAAGTTTGACTTCAGCACCTTGCGAATAACAGGAAGAAGAGCAAAAAGTGTTGCCTGCAGGTCT